TGTTACACGCAAACAATGAATCATGGAACACTACATCAAAAACTAATGATGTAATGTATGGTGATTAACATAACATAATAAAATTTAAAAAAATACTGGATATATAGAATAAGACATGCAAGGTCTCTTTACCTTTGTGGAATTTACATAATTTCAAATAGTAATAAATTCTCTAGGTACATTTTAATATCGGAAGTGGAGGGGCTGGTGAGGAAATGGTCCCATGGTTGGGTTGCAGCCTGCAGTGCGAAGTTGCCAGCTCTAAATAGAGCTGGGAGAAAACACCCCCCAGATCTCCAGATTGAGAGGACAGAAAGACCTGGTGGTTGGGGGAAAAACTTGCTGTATTCAGGGAACTGATAGCCATTGACCTGGATCCCAGTGCCTGAGGGGAACGTTGTGAGAAATAAAGTCTGAAAGGTAGACAGAAGCCAGATGATAAAGGGCTTAGTAGGCTGTGATAAGTAAATAAGATTTTACCTAAGGTCTGAAGGGAAGCCATTGAAGGGGTTTTTTTTTTTGGCTGGATAGCAACTTGATTAGGTTAGTGGTTCTACAAATCTACACATGTAATAAATTGGCCTAAAACTAGATACTTAACCACTGTCAATTTCCTGGTGTTTGCTATTGCCCTATAGTTCATGTAAATGTAGCCATTGGGCAAACTAAGTGAAAGGTAGAAGGGACCACTCTACTGTTTTTGCAACTTCCTGTGAGTATTTATAATTATTTCAAAATAAAAAGATAAAGACAAGCACTGAGAAAATGGATTATTGGCAAGCAAGAATGAAAGCAGACTAGTTATGAGGCCATGAGAGACGATGATTGCTTGGACTTGGGTAGTAATAGTAGGTATGGAGAGAAGTGGATGGAGCTAAGTCATTTCAGAGATGGAGCTGTTACTGGGTTGGTGTGTGAGGCAGGTAGTCCAGATTTTTTCCTGAGCAACTGATGGTTTCATTTGAGTTTGGGAGGGTTAAGATTGGAAGAGGAAGACGTTGAGAGGAGGAACTAGAAATTGTTTTATATTTGGGCTTGTTAGGTTGTGTAAGCTATCAGGGTGAAGCTGGAGTTGAGTGTAGGAGCCAGGCAGCATTTAGATCATAATTACAGTGGTGGGATTAGATGAGATCACACTGGCAAAGAGTGGAGAGAGTGGAAAGAAGAGGGCTGGGGATAGAGCTGTTCGTGAGTCAGCGTCTAGAAATATGTCACAGGAGGAGCCAATAGAGGGAATCTCAAAGAGGTGGTGACAGGAAGAAGATAGAGAGTGGAGTCATTGAAACCCAAAGGAGGAGGTGAAGGAAGAGGGAGCTCTCTGATTTGGATAGTGCTGAGATACTGAGTATGACGAGGAAAGAAGTGACCACAGGAGGTTGGGAGACCTCAGGGTGCAGAAGGCAAGCTTGAAAAGCGAACAGGTCGTGAGAGGATGGAGAGCAAGTACAGGCACCTCATTCAAGGAGTAGCAGAGGAGTGGGGTGGGAGCCAGTGGGAGCTCTCCTACGTCATATTAGTGAGTGTGCCAGTGCGTATGATCCAGTTGCAAGGCAGAGAGAGATGATGAATCGGGCAAAGATTAATTGAATGAGCAAATATATTGAGAATGCAGGAAGGGTTGCTGGGTTATGTAAAAAGGGGAGGAATTGTTCTTTGAGTCTCAACGTACCAGCCAAAGAGAGCCTTTTAAAAACATCAGAGCACATCACTCTTCTGCTCAAAAGCTTCCCATCCCAGTTAGTGTAAAAGTCAAAATCTCTACAGTGGCCTGCAAAGCTTTAAATGATGGTGCTCCCTCCCACCTCACCCCCACCTCTGACCTCCTCTCTTACTATTACTCTCCTTTGAGTCTGCTCCAGCCACACTGGCCACCTCACTTTTAACTCAGTACAGCAGATCCCTGCCTTGGGGTCTTGGTGGTTGTGACTCCTTCCTGGACACTCTTTCTGCAGGTTCCTGCACGGCTTACTCCTTTACTTTTTTCAGGCCTTTCCCTCAATGGTACCCTGTCATGTTGTTTTCCCTGACCACTGTCTAAAATTGTATCCCTCCCCCTGCACCTTTTATTCCCCCTAACCTGCTTTTCATTATAGCACTTCCTACCACCTTAAATACTGTATGCTTATTTACATATTTAATTTGTCTCTCACCGTTAGAATGTTCAGTCTGTAGGGAGCAGGAATTTTTGTTTACTGTTGCTAATACCTCGAACACTATCAAATGTGCAAATGTATAATGAAAGAGAGCAAGGAAGAAAGAATGTGGGTAGAGAATCAGAAAGGTTTAAGGATGTCCTAGTGGGACTATGTTGTGTTACTGTTTGAGCTTATAACAGTTATAAAGCAGGACTCTGAAAATGGACTGGGATGGGAGGGATGATTAGTTTTGAGGTGAGCATAGGAAATGTAAAAAGTATTTTTGGAGAGTGGAAACGTGAACTTTCAAGGTATGATGTAAGATTGCTGGACAGGGTTGAATGCACATTTGTGGTTTTCTGAAATGAAATGTGTTTCTCATTTAATAGAATTTTATCAACGTTAAGCTATAAAACAGAGTAAGGAAATGTGGCATAAATGCTTAATGTTTTTTTTTTTATTTTAAATTTCTTTAATTGCTAAATGCCTCTTTGGCTAGTGTTTGGAGGATCACTATTTAGTCCTACAATTGACTCATTTTTCCACTTTCTCATCTTTTTGTTGCAAACCACCTAAAAGTCTTATCTCCTCTGTTGAACATCGTTTGACACGTTACTAAAATGGACCCTCTATGCTGTAACCACACAGAATAATAATGTTGGAAAGTATGAATATCTAAATGATTTGTAAAAGGTATTATTTTTTCCCATCTGTTTTGAAATTATTTCTAACAGTTTCTAAAGACATGGTCACAGCTGCCTGAAGCATGTCTTCTTCACTCATAGCATCTCCTGGATCACTGCCTGGTGCTCCTGAACTTGTGGTCGGCCTCTCACTTGGCTGTGAAATTTGCTTAATGTTTTTAAGAAAGGATAGAGTTCTTTTTTTTTTTTTTAAACAGTGATCTTTATAGTATTGAATTTACAAGTGATGTAGAATGTGCCCTAATGTAAAATAACATTCTTTTTAGCCTTACCAATAATTCTCGGATCGTGGGACTCCTGGCTCAGCTGGAGAAGATCAATACTGAATCCACAGAATCAGATACTGCCAGATATGTTACATCAAAAATTCTTCATCTGGCTCAAAGTCAAGGTAAACTTTAATCTCTTGTTTTTGAAATACTTTTTCTGTTCTTTAAAAGTAGATGTTATGAATGTTCAAACTTTTGATAAATAGATGATTTTCTTTAAAAATTGAACTTTCTCAAATAGAAGTAGAAGAAGTAGAAAACTGAATAACTGTGGAATGAATTGCTGTTCAAAGCACTGTTTCTAAAAATGAATATGACTGCCCCCCCATTTTCAAACAGTACTTAATTCCAGTGCTACTTATTCTAGAATGTTGACAAAAAGATGTCAAGTAGTATAGAACATTGGTTACTAGTGTGATCCCCACTTGAAATGCAAGCTCTGTCATTCAGTGGTGAGATGTTCTTAGGGAAATATTGAGTCGTAGGATTCAGCTGCACCATCTCCAAAATAGAGATAATAGATATCAGTAATTATCATGAGATTTACATGAGAAGCATGTAAAAAGAATGTTAAAATGTTCAATAAATGATATCCGTAATTAGGCATCATTTCAATAGATACTAAAAAAGGAATTTAAGGTTCTAAAACCTCTGGTTGATTAAAAAAAAAAACAACTTGATTTTTCTTTTTTTTAAATAAGGGTAAACCAGCAACTGCCTTAATATTTAATAGCAATATATTGAATAACTTCTGTTAAAATTAAAGTCCAGACATTTTATAACTAGCGTTTAATTTTTTAAATTATTTCATTATTCTGGAGTTTCAGGTCCGTTAGTAGGCATTTACTGTGTTCAGGAATTCAGTATCTATTAACCCTTCTCCATGGTCATAGACCATTATTTTGATAACTTCCTGCCATGCAGTCCATGTGTTTAGGGGGTAGTTGACAGCACTCCAAAACCTAGGAGAGATCTCTAATAGATGACATTTGTTTCTAGCAAAATCTAAGATACCTGTCTATACTTTTTAATTCAGGAAGTCACTATACTGGATTCTAGCCTTTGAAGGTATTGTGCTTATCATCCAAGGTCAGCCTACAAGGATGTACATTGTATTAGGGCAAAGTTAGATATACCAAGTATATTCACTGTATTGTTATATGAAATACTTTCTCAAAATAAAACCAACAAAAACTGAAGAAAACAAATTTCTCCGACCTATAGATAACAGTTGTGTACACTGCCCCCACCACTGCAGACTTTCCCCATCATAGCCTAGAAGCCCCTGCTCCAACATCACCACTGAAAAATGGCCCAACCATACCACTACCAGAGACTGCCCCTCTACCCTGCCACTCACCACTGGGGTCCAACTCCTGAATGCTGTCCCCTGGGTCGTGTAAGACAGTGACTTTGTTTATAGTACCTTGGATTAGCCAGTCAAAACAGTGTAAATTAGTAGTGGAAGACTGTCCCATCATCATTTCTAGGATAATTCAGTTGGCTATCCATTTGAGAGAGAAAGATTAGAAATCTGTAGTTCAAGGAAGAAGAAAGGCAAATAACCAGTCAACCTATGAAAAGGTTCTTTAACTCCTTGAAAGTCGGGAATTGCTAATGAAAACAACAGAGATGCTTCTCACTAGTTAGATTGGCAGAAATTAGAGAGTGACAATATCCAGTGTTGGGGACATGGAAAATAAGGTATTCTCATACACTGTTGGTGATGCAATAATTATTACTAACTTTGGAGAGAAGAATCTGGCAATGTTTATTAAAATTAAAGTGCATTTGCTGGCTGACTTTCAGGAATGTATTTGACTAAAATAAAAGTGCTAGTATGTAAAAGAATGTTTGAGGATATTTTGCAGCATTGTTTGTAATATCAAAGATCAAGATACCCCCTAAATATCCATCAGTGAGAGAATGGTTGGGTTAATTTTGATGTAGCCTAATTGTGGAACTTTTAAAGTATATTATATAGTTATTAAGAATTTATTTGTGATATTTGGGACAGATAGTTCATATGTGGAACTATATGAATTGTTCTGGAGTCCTGAGTTTAATATATTAAGTAAAAGAGCAAGTTTCTTTAGTTCATATAACTATATAGCTTCATTTTTATACAAAATAAACCATTAAATATGTATGTAATGTTTATGTGAGCGAGGCAAAAAACCAAACACAAAAACAGAAGTATACATACCAAATTTTTAGCAGTAGTTATCAGTGGGATAGAAATGGAGGGGAATGAGGAAAGTTCCTGATTTACTTAAGGTACTTTTCTACTGTTAGAATTGTTGCAATAAGAACATACTACTTGTGTACTTAAAGGATTAAAAAAACCTAAACTCCGAAAATACTTGTTTACATAGTGGAGATACACATTTCCACAGTTTGGGGCTGGTTTTCCTTGAATGCATTACATTTTCTGTCTTTAATAATGTACTGTTTATTTGTAGCATGCATGGTACTTTTTGTAACTTACCTTAATTTTTTCCCTAGAAACATAATAATTATCCATTTCATGTAGATGGTTTAATTTGTTGGCATATATCTCTTGGTAGTAATTCCCTTATAATCCTGTTAGTTTCTGTAGGATAGGAAATGATGTTCTTTCTGTCATTCTTGATTTTTGTCATCTGTCTCTTTTCTTGATCTGTCTAGCTCAGTGGTTCTCAGTCCGGGGTGGTGATGAATTTACCCTGTTATTATTATGGATTGTTCCTCTTTATCTCTAGTAGTTTTCTTTGCCTTGATGTTTATTTTGTCTGATAATAGTATAGCCCCTCCAGCTTTCTTTCTTTTTTTTTTTTTTTTTGAAGATTTTATTTGTTTATTTGACAGAGACACAGCGAGAGAGGAAACAGAAGCAGGGGGAGTGGGAGAGGGAGAAGCAGGTTTCCCACTGGGCTCCATCCCAGGACCCTGGGATCCTGACCTGAGCTGAAGGCAGCTGCTTAACAACTGAGCCACCCAGGGCGCCCCCTCTCCAGCTTTCTTATGCTTGTTGTTTGCATGATTAGCTTTTCCCATTCGTTTCCTTCTAGCCTATTTGTAGTTTTGAATCTAAAGTGTGTCTTTTGTAGATAGCACGTTGACATTCTCTGCCTTTTAATTTGAGCATTTAGTTTGATAACTTTTTTTTTATTCTTATGTTAATCCCCATACATTACATCATTAGTTTTAGATGAAAGTTTGATAACTTTTAATGTAATGTTGATTGGACTTAGATCTAGAGTTATTTGTTTTCTGTTTGTCCTTTCTGGTTTTATTTCTTGTTTCTCATTGCCTTGCCTTCTTTTGTATTTATTTGAACAATTTTTAGAATTCCATTTTAATTTACCTATTGACTTTTTAGTTATACCTGTTTGCATTTGTTAAATTTCTCTGGAGATCACAATAAACAACATTAACTTTTTACACTTTGCTTAGAATTAATATTGTAATTTCATATGAAATTTAGAAACCTTAGAACCTTACATATCCATTTATATTTACTATTCTTTAGCTATAGTTGTGATATGTATCACATCTATATACATTATAAACCTTAAAAGACAATTTTTGCTTTAGACAGTCATGTGTATTTTAAAGACGTTAAGAAGAAAAAAAGTAGTTTTTATATTTACTCACATATTTACTATTCCTGAAGCTCTTTTTTCTTTGCCAAAGATATGAGGTAGATCTGGCATAATTTCTCTTTAGCCTACAGAATTTCCTTTGGCATTTCTAGTGGACAGGTCGGCTGTGGCAGAAATTTTTTTTTATCTGACAATGGATTTATTTCACCTAATTCTTTTTTTTTTTTTTTTTTTTAAAGATTTTATTTATTTATTTGAGAGAGAGAGAATGAGAGACAGAGAGCACGAGAGGGAAGAGGGTCAGAGGGAGAAGCAGGCCCCCCGCTGAGCAGGGAGCCCGATGCGGGACTCGATCCCGGGACTCCAGGATCATGACCTGAGCCGAAGGCAGTCGCTTAACCAACTGAGCCACCCAGGCGCCCCTATTTCACCTAATTCTTGAGGGATGTTTTTAATGGGTGTAGAATTCTGGGTTGATGGTTTTGTCCTTCAGCACTATAAAGTGCATGTAAAACAGTCCTTCCACTATTTTGTGGCCTCCATAATTTCAAAGGAGATGTCTGCTATTTTTGAATCTTTGTTTTTGAAAGTTATGTGTCATTTTTCTCTTGTTGAGTTCATGATTTTCCATTAGTTTTGGTTTTCAGAGGTTTGCATGTAGTTTTCTTTGTATTTATCCTGCTTGGAATTTGTGTCTTTTATCAATTTTAGGAAATTTTTTTATCAAAATTCTTTTCTTCTTCATTCTCTCTTGGTATATAATTATACATATGTTAGACTTTTGGAGATTGTTTCAGAGGTCCTTGAGGCTCCTATTTTTCTTTTCTTTTTTTTTTTTTTTTTTAAGATTTTACTTAGAGAGAGAGAGCACAAGCAGGGGGAGAGGCAGAGGGAGAAGGAGAAGCAGACTCCCTGCTGAGCAGGGAGACCGATGCAGGGCTCGATCCCAGGACCCTGGGATCATGACCTGAGCTGAAGGCAGACGCTTAACTGACTGAGCCACCCACGCACTGTGAGGCTCCTATTTTTCAATCTTAATACTTTGTTACTCAGATTGGATAATTTCTCTTTTTCTGTGTTCAGGCTCACTGCCTTTTTTCTCTGCATTCTGCCATTATGTCTATCCGATATTTCACATATTGTATTTTTCTTTTCTAAAATGTGCATTTGGTTCTTTTTTATACTTTTTATTTTTCTGTTTTGTGATTTCTTATCTTTTTGTTCATAGTGAGCTTATTTTCCTTAATGTAATTGAACGTAATTATAGTAGCTGCTTTAAAATTCTTGCCTGTTAGAACATTTAGATTATTGAAGGTGTTGAAGAAGGCACATGGTGGTATAAGAACTGGGAAGGACTGTTTTAGAAAAGCCAACAGAGGAAGCATTGTCAGCAATGTTAAGTAACAGAGAGAAGTTAGTTAAAATAAAGATCTTTTTGATTTGACAATTAATAAATTGTTGGCCACAACAAGAGCACTTTCAAGTGGCGGAATTAGAAGGAAGATTGCATTATGCTGTAATGTGAGTGGCAAATAAAATAATGACAGGGCGTGTAGACTTTCTGTCATGGGGGGAGTTTCACTGAGAAACCAGAAGGAAATAGAGGAGGAGGCAAGTTAAAATAAGGTTTGTTATGTATGTGGGAAAACAGAAAACAGTATGTGGGTAGAGGTTGAAGCCATAGGTTTATAAATAGGTAGAAAGGATGGGATTTAGAACATAGTAGAAACGACACATCCTCTTTCCCTCCCTAAGACTGGAAAAAGGAATGCAGAATCATCAAGGATTGGATACATGAGTGTATGGAACTTGGTCATTGTTTTATAGGATTTCATCTGTGGTTGACTGATCACTTTGTCTCAGTTCACTGAGGGAAACATAGATGCCGAGAGTTGGGAACAGAGGTCCAGAGATTGAGAGCAAAGGTTGAGAACTGGCACACATTTTGGAATAGCTGTGGGCTATGGCAGGGCAGATGTTGATGGCTGAGAGTTGAGATAAGTGAAAACAGTAGTTTTGTGTTTCCAAATGAGGATGGAAATGGTGAATTTTTTGGTGGTAAAAATCTTAAACTAGGAGAAGAAATTCTTGTGGCCTTATTTTTACTGTGATGTAGGAATAGAGAATGCGCATTTTAGCCTTTACTTAATTATAAGGGTTCACAGGAGGACGTTTAAGAGGTGAGCCTTGGAATGAATCCAAGCGGGGTATGTCTAGAAATGATTTTGCGGGAAAACAGCACTACCACTGATGAGTTAGAACTTTCCGTGAAAGGGACAATGAGGCTTCCCTAATTTTTAGAAAGCAAAGAGGAATAGGAGTGTTAGGAGGCTGTGGTCTGAGAGTGGGAGGTTGGAGGTTAAGATTTCAGAGGTAGGGCAATTTGAGGTCTGAGAATTGAGAGGGTTGATAAATTGGAGCACAGGGGGAAGGGTTTTGTTGTTACATGTCAGGAAGCTATGCAGCTAGGTATTTGAATGAATCATCCACATTGATATTGAAGTCTCCTTAGATGATGACAGAGTCTTGAGTAGAGTAGAAAACTAGTGGCTAATTTTCATTTAGTGTGAGGAGTAAACTACATGATCGTGGATGTTATAAGGGGAGTTTTTGGTTTGTTCCATGAAGGTGAAAAAATAATGGTTTGTTAGTGGAGGAGATCTCAGTCTTCTGACTATTCTGTGTGATTAATATTGAAAAATCATTTGGCTTTAACATTAAATCAGTTGTCTTATTTAAAATGTTAAGAGTGCATTGTGGGTATTTAAACAGTATTTATTTTACAGCTTCATACTTACTGATGGAGGCAGCTGGGCCAGGGAAATGATGAAAGGTCAGGAGAGGAATCATTTTTAAAAAAGGAATTGGGTTTTACAAATATTAATGAGTTTCCCCTTTTTTTTATAGGTAAAGAAATTTGTCATTCTTTTAAGCATTAGTAATTATGGCAACAGGGTGTAGAGATGAACTGTTTTAGATATTCAGATCATTTATGCAATGTTATGTTTAGAAAGATTGTAAGGTGTTTGTCAGTTTTACAAAGTTCATTATCTGGACCCAAGATGATGCATGATAGCATGGGATTGTTGTTTTAAAGAAAAATATGATTTCTAATCTCTGTTTTTATTTTGTAGGTAGTTACTGATAGTTGCCACAAATAATACTATACTGTAACTTCTCTGAGCACATTGTCCCTTTAATAACTTCTAATTTAGAATAACCTGATTTTCAGATGGATATCAGACTAATGAGTTTTTTCCTGAGATTTTGTGACTTCTATTCTTATATACTTCATGTTCTTGTGAAATTGTAAATGTGTAATTTGTATGTGTCAAAACTATACCACATATGGATTTTTGTTCATTCGTAATGGAAGTTGAACAGGATTTTGCTTTGGGCAGAAATGTGATGTTCTAAAGGCCTAGCCTGACTTTTTCCCCCTCCCCCTTATCAGGGCTTCATTCTGCTTCATTCATTCTGCTCTTAGACTGCTTGATTATCTCTGTGTAGAAAAAATTTGGTAGTATCAATCTCTTGAACGTTATTGTGTAATGTGTGCTGTGTTGAGAATAGATTATTTGTGTTCTGTTTTTAAAATCTCAAAGTGTGAGAGAAATGGCATTGTCATCCTATATTAGAAGAATTTCTGGCACTAATATTCAGGTGTGAAACAGTTGGAGAAGGTTAACAAGTCTCTTGTACAACAGTCCTGCCTAAAAGAATGATTTCTTTGGCTCTTTTAGAAATACACGAAATCAATGAAAGACTGTAAGCTTTGGGTTCAGAAACACCTGGGTCACCTGGTCTCTTTCACTTACCTGCTCAATGACTTTGTGTATGTTTCTTCTCTTTTCTGAACTCAAATTTCTGGTCTGTGAAAAGAGTAATTATCCTCCTGGAGGGTTAAAGTAAATCATAGATGAGGTAATATAGGTCAAGTACATATAATTTGTATGTGATCTACCTAAGTGTTGGCCTATGATCTACTTTTCTTGTTAATCAAAGGAAAAGAATAGTGGAGAAGCTCTAGAAACCTTTAAATAGTAGAAAAATTTATAGTTTCTCCCCACCCGCATCTCAGATAAAAGGGATTATTTGGGTGATCTGGTCTACAGATTCTTGCAGAAGAAGCAAGTTTTGTTTGTTCCTTAGTTTTGTTTATTTTTGTGTAATTCAGAATTTTAAAATAGTATTAATTCAGTAAAAACATTTGAAAATAGTACTAGGTTTTTGTTTTCACCAATTTTGATGAAATATTTTCTAGTTCTAGTTGTAAAGATAATAAAGAGGCCTGCCATTATCACCTCCTACCTCACCACCAGTTCTGGTACTCATACTCTGTTGTTGATTTTAAGATTATAGATGGATTGACAGGGATCCATCTAGTTCATGATAGGAGATGTGATTAAATGCAAGGAAGGGCTTGTAAACTGAGATCTGGAAGTTCCCACCCAGTAGAATTAGCAACATCAGAGGGAGGAACATCTAAGAACCAATTTAGAATGTTTACTAGACCAATGGAGTCATGTTGATTCTACATTAGCTATAGAATAAAGCTATATGTAATTTTTTCTTGTTTTAGAAGAAAACTTTTTTATACCTTTCAGAAAAAACAAGGAGAGAAATGACAGCCAAAGGTTCTACAGGAATGGAAGTTCTGCTGTCAACCCTAGAGGTAAATCACTGACAGGCTTTAATTTTGTAACTAATACCAACTAGTAGAAGAAAAAAATGTATATATGAAGTATAAAATTTTTATGCTAGAGGTAAAGCTAATGAATGGAAGTTAGTTTTATGTTTTAAATTATCACTTGGGACGGTGACAGAAACATTCTGATATATATTAGGTAAACCTCTAAGTATATTTCCCTATGATTGTAATGATAACCGTATTTTAAATTTTAACGTGCCATTCCAGTTGGTAATACAAAATAAAGCATTAGCTGGAAATAAATCTTTAGTCTAAAATAAACGATTGATATTGGAAATTCTCATTTTTGTATTGTTTTAGATGATATATATTTGTGATTCAGTTTACTACATATATTGGTTGAATAACTATATTATGTTGGTAACAGTTAAATTTCTATCCCAGTGTGAAATTTTTGGGTGGATCAGCAGGATATATTCAGAATCAGGATTTTAAATTTTATTCAGTGCTGTGTTAAGAACAGGAAGTGAGTTTGTTGTATACCTTAAACTTACATAGTATTCATAAGTCAAATTATATCTCAATAAAACTGGGAAAAAAAAGAACGGGGGTTAATTCATATTTTTGATAGGAATTACTTCCTATTAAAAATGATACAAGATGTCATTTTTCCCTAAATTGATCTGTCAGTTTAAAGTAATCTCAGTAAAAATACCAACAGTTTTGTTTCTAAAGTTCAATGAGAAAATAAAAGTAGAAAGGACGTTTCTGAAAAAGAAAAAAGAAAGGACTAGCTGCACCAAATACCAGAGAACATTATATAAAAACTTTAGTAATTTAAATAGTTTAGAAATTGTGCCTTAGTAATAGACATCAATATAGCATCAATGTAGCAGAATGGAAAGTCCAAAAATAAATTAAAATCATATGGCAATTTAAAACCACTTAAGAAAGGTAGCACTTCAGATCAGTGAAAAGTGGAGTGATTATTACTAAGTGGAGCTGGGACAGATTGGTAGCCACTTAGAAAAGAATAGTGGATCCTTACGTCCTACACCGAAGTAAATTCTGTATCTATAGCAAAGATTTAAGCATGGAAAATAAAATCATAATACTAGAGGAAGTAATAGGAGAAATTTTTAAATAATCTTAAAACAGGGAAGGGTGTTCTAATATGAACAAAGACCCAGAAGCTATAAAAGAAAAGATTGATAAATTCAATTATATTAACTAAAGTACGTGGGGAAAAAACACCATAGACACTTGGCAAACTGAGGAAAAAACGTTTCAACTTGTATAATTTCTTTAACATATAAAGAACTTTTATAAATCAGTAAGGAAAAATTAAATCAATAGACATTGATTTAAATGTGTAGACATTATGGACAGTTCCCAGGGAAAGAAACGCAAATGGCACTTGAGATTGAACACCATTCGTTTTGTTTGTTTGCTTTATCACAATTTATTGAGGTCAGCAGGGGTGGGAGGCAGTGAATTATGTATGGGAGACTTGTCTGGGTAAGGCCTAGAGATAACAGTGCAGCTTCCATTCAGGTTCCAATGGCCTGAGCTCAGTCACATGGCCCAAACCTAAGTACAAAAGGGCTGGAAAATGTGGTTTGGCAATGTACCCAGGAAGAAGATGAGACCTGTTTGCCAAACACAAGCAATATTCTGCCACAGTCCACTCTTCTCTTTAACACATGTCTGTCCCTCTCATTCTTCCAAATTCCTCTCTAGTGAGTCGGTGGTCCAATAAATGGAATACCTCCAATGCTGAGACAAGGTTTTCTGCTTAATGCATAATCCTCTAACTGGTCTGCATATGGCTTTTGGGCTCCATTAATCTATAAGCTAAAATGGTGAAGCAGAGACAACACTCCCTTTCGGAAGGGGGAAGAATAAGTAAGGGTCAGTTTACTGATACACAACAATTCTCAAGTTCCTCTGTATAAACATTTAAAATTCCTTTACTTTGGGGGTGAGGCAGTTCCTTAAATAGGCCATAATTCTGCTTCTCTGTGGTTTTCTTTATCCAGGCATTGCTTTTAATAAGAGAGATGTAACCAAAGTACAGTGTTTAAACATTTTCTCTTATTAGATTGGTTATCCAGACTTTGGGAAATAGTTACTCTTCTACATTGTTGGTGGGAGTGTAAATTACTCCATGAACAATTTAGTAAATGCCCATATTCTTTGACCCAGAAATTCTAGGAATTTATCCCATATGGAGACATACTTGATTCTGTATAAACATGTTAATTTCTTGTTGCAGTTTTTTAGTAGCAAAAGATTAAAACAATTAAATATTCCATTGGTAGGTGACTGGTTTCATAAACAATGGCATAGCCATATGATGGATAGAATCCATATGGTAGCCCTTAAAAAAGGGTGAAGAAATTATTTATTGATACATAAAAATATCAATATAAAATAGTATCCATAGGGCACTACCATTTGGAGAAATAAATCTGTATATGCACATATATTTACATGGATTTCTTTCATGTGTGCACATTGTCTTTGGCTGGATACACAAGCAACTGATAATGCAGTTGCCTTCTGAGAGGGGAGCTAGGTGACTGGGTGGTCACCATAGATACATTGTAGTGCTTTTTACGTTTTGATTCATTTATTTGGGTTATCTATTTAGTAGAAGATGGTGAATTCAAATGACAAATTAATTCCTCTTGTAATAGTGTTGATACTAAGAAAACAATAGCTCAGATGACTTGCAAAACATTTTCAAGGGCAAGAAGAAACTACTGAAGTGGTAAGTGAGAATAGTGGCAGCCCAAATAACATTTGTTCGTAGGGAAATTGGAAGGGCCATTTGTAAAAATACAGGTAGTTCACAGCAGGAACAGAAAAGGTTTGGGAATCACAGATTTACAATGGTTTAATACAGCAAATAAACTATTTATTTCAGAACACGAAAGATCTTCAAACTACACTTAATATCTTAAGCATTCTTGTTGAGCTGGTGTCAGCTGGTAAGTTTTTGTTTCCTTTGGTCTAATTTCTGTTTGTAAACAGTGATCAGCAATGTATCATGTGTACTTTATTTGGAATTTTCTGATACTTTTATAGAAGCTATTCTGAGTATCAGAATTTGGAAACTGAAATTGTCATACTCTTATTGTTGCTTTGTTTTTGATTTGAGGGGTCTTCGGGTATCCCTCAAACCACCCCAAAACCCATTTTCAGAGCCTTGAATGTGGAATTTTGGCATCACTTGTATTTACCCTCTTTGTTATTTTCTAACTAAAATACTAAATGAAATTTAAAAAAATTGATTTTGAGGTGTTTGATTTCAGAAGTCATCATTTGAAATATTTCTTGAATGCTAACAAGTTGTGATGTCTAATATGTTATGGGAGGATTTGCTGTTTAAACAATTAAAAACAATTTTTTTTTTTTAGGTGGAGGTCGAAGAGCGAGTTTCTTGGTCACCAAAGGTGGTTCACAAATATTGTTGCAGTTACTTATGAATGCCAGCAAAGAATCTCCCCCGAATGAGGAGTTGATGGTGCAGATTCATTCTATTCTTGCAAAGATTGGACCTAAAGGTAAGGGTTCCACTTGTGTTTTTATCATAGAACTATTTGTGACATTGATTCTGTTTGCCTTGAAGTTTGGTAAGTTTTGAAAATCTAAAGTGGTACTGCTTTTTCTTGGTCTTAGTCATGGACTGCTTTTTTTTTTTTTTTAAGATTTTATTTATTTATTTGACAGAGAGAGACACAGCGAGAGAGGGAACACAAGCAGGGAGAGTGGGAGAGGGAGAAGC